TTTTTTTTTTTTTGTCTGCCACAGTGCCAAACCTTTAATTTGCAGTAGGACATTGCCCTAACTGGAGCTGTCAAACTGTCCGGTTATAACACGAAGACGCCAGAAGTGAGCACCCATCTCGTATACAGACGGCCCCAGAGCCTGTAAACTGTAATTCACAGGTTTAGGAGCAAAGCACAAACAAAGCAAATGCTCGGAGCTTCCATTCACACCACAGAGAGCTAAAATGGAGACAATATGACAGGCTCATAGTTCCCCTCCTGAACATGCTTTCCAAGGACGGGCCTGGACAAGCCCTGCTTATCTGAGGGAAGAAAGCCAAGCCAAGATGAAGGGAGAAATATGTGTGTCAAATTCAGCAGTCACTTTCTAATAGACTGACAAAAACCCATTTCTTTTCTAGGTTTGCTTCCTCCCTTCTTCTCATATCTACTTACCAGCCCGTCACATAACAGTTTTATTAAAAATATCAGCTTTTTTTTTTTTTTTTATTCTGCCTGTAATGTATGCTGGAATGAAACCTGAAGCCATCAGCAACGAGACGTGGTATGTAAAGCCAAACCTGTCATCAGATTATGTAACAGCACAGGCCTACCATGACAACAGGCTGTGCTGCAGAAACCTGTCAGACTTTTGGTGGAAATAATCTCCTAATCTTTCAGAGAAATTCCTATCCATAGTATGAGGTCATCTAATGCTCAAGCAACTGGAAAAATATGAAAACAATCATTTTTCTCCATCGTTTTGGCATCGGTTTGATCATTATCTCACTTTATAAAATCACTAACAATCTATGCATCACACTGGACCTAATTATCTACACTGCAGTGCTGACATACAGCCACAATAAATACAGTCATGACTCGATAATCCGACACTAAACGCAAAACCTTCTTCTATGTCGGATAGCAAGGCTGTCGGATTGTCAAGACGGAGGTCGAGATACAAGCATTTGTTGTTAATATTTATTGTTCATAGTTGTTATAATAACTAGTGTATTGTTAGAACACTACGCATCGCTGGATTTCATGCCTAATTGACTGGTGCACTTGTGCATGGACCCATCGGTTGACATCAAGGATAAATATGTTCAGACAGCAGGCTGAAGTGATCCAAATCCAATATTTTTTTCTCCTATGTGACCTGTATCTGATCTTTTCATGACAGTCTGAACAACACAGATCCAATTCATGATGAATATCCAAATATTCAGCGCGGACTTCCACCCCGGGGCAGCGCTCCGACGGGATGGAAGTGGCCGGAACGCACAGGCAGTACTTGGTTGCTGATGCTAGTTTACTTAGCGGTCACACTTCTGTTTCCACCATCGGCGGCGGCGGGGGAGTGGCAGATACGCTCCACCGTTACCATCCATGTTTACTTCCATAAACACTGAGCATGCTCGCAGCATGTGACGTCGTCGTGTCCTCTTCTGCGCATGCGGGACACTTTTGGGTCGTATGAAGTTCACACAGCAGATCACATACAAGTCGCATTTAATTAGAAATGTGAACGAACTCACAAAAAATCGGATTTCACAAAAAAAATCTGAATGTAGCATCAAGTCCTGCAGTCTGAATGTAGCCAATCAGATTGTTCAGTCAGATAATACGCCGTTATCCTTATTTGTGACATAAAATGTCACGTCGGAGTCGGAATCCAAGGCTGTCGGTATGTTAAGGCTGTTTTTAAGGGGTTCCGTTTGTTTTTCCTACGACTACATCCCAGGCACATCTTACCTTTTCTGACATATTTGGACCAGCAAACATTTGAGTCACTTCGAAACACTACAGATAAAGGCGGTATACTTCAATAACGCCACAAAGTTTAATCAGCTGCATCTTAAGTAAAGACGTCAATACATGCATTACTCCTCTGTGGAAAAAGTGAGCAAGCCCTTTTCCTCAGAAGCTAGTGTTGCTCGCTGGCGTTACGTAGTCTGACGTCAACTTGCGGGAAAATGTGACCACTCTTCTATGTAACATTCCTTCAGTTGAAAGATATTTGAGGGGTTTCTTGCATGTAGCTGTCGGTTTCTAATCCCCCTGCAACATTTCAACGGGACTCGAATGTGCCTCCTGTGCAGGTCTGATTTGTGCAACATCTGTATGATTGTTGACGCTATATTTTGACACCAGCAGTTGAATCGGTACCTGCAGATCCTGTGAAGACATTTTGAGTTTCTTGGAGACTTTTTCTTTTTTTTTTCACCCACCAGTCTACTCTTGGGCTGAATTTGCTGGGGCGGCCAGTCAAAGACAAATTGGCTGTCGCTTGAAATCAGCACAGCCGCCTTACAGTGGAATGGTTTATTTGGAACCACTTGGACATCTTTACAAATGCCTTGCCAGTCTCATACACTGGTGGAGCCACACAATTTTCATAAGGGTGGCCAAGCTGAGGCCATTACTCACATTAGGGTTGATGTTAATGTCTTTTTTTTTTTTTATAGGAAACTGATGGAGGCCAAAATCTTTTTTTTTGGTCATTCACTTTATCATTTGCTTATGTAAGTATGACTGCCATGCAGAACTACAATGTGAATTCACATATTTAATAATCTTTTCTTTTTAAATCAACAATAAAAAGACTAAAAACCCTAAACATTTTTTTCACCATGTTTAATTAATTGTGGAAAAGCTCATTAGATAATTACAGCTCAAATTCCACATAAGACTTTTCTAGAAAAGTGTCCTTGTTGTGCTCAGGACACCCACCTGGTTCACACTGTGTCCATCCAGCCTTTAGTTTCTTTCTTTTAGCTGCAGGCTCTGGGTCAGCGTTGCATCGTTCAGCAGTTTTTCTTTTCCTTTTGGTTTTTTTTTTTTGAATATTTTTTTTGGCCTTTCGGCTTGATTACACAGAGGAAGACAGGAAAGTAGGGGGAAGGACCTGCATCAAATGGTTGTGGCAGAATATTGTACTGAGGTAGTGACAAAATCCTGCTAGCACTCTGTTTGCTCATTTTGCTCTGTGCGTCGCAAACCTTCCCATTGTCTGGTGCCCAACAATCTCTTCAGAGAGGTTGCACCTGCCCCGCCCTCAGGAGGTTCTAATGACTGGCACCTAACAGGGAAAGCACTGTTGTGACATTATGGATTTGAGGGTGCTTGTAGGGAGTGGAGGGAGGTGCTTGCTTTCTTTTTTTTTTCCATTAACCTCTGAACATGACTGAAAAACAGTCAGTATTTACTGTCATTTGGTTGAGCACATATTTATAGACAGTGTTTCAAAGAGGATCAAGTGTTTGCGTGTACAAAGAAATACCAACAATTTCCACAGGATGAGCCTTTTTTTCCAGACATGACTATGATGTATAATATGTTGTTCTAAATTTATAGTATTCACTCCAAAGAATTTAGCTCCAAAATATAGAAGTGAAATACTTGTTACCACAGAAAACACCTCATCAGTGTTACTAGTTCTGAGACGTGTAGCGGTTGGTCCTGTTGGCTCACAGCTGGAAGGTCCTGAGGTCGATTCTCTAGTTTGATTAGAGCCTTTCTGTGTGGAGTTTGCATGTTCTCTCTGTTCCTGCGCTGGTTTTCTCCAGGTGGTCCAGCTTCTTCTCACAGTCCAAAATCAAGCTGAGACTACTTGATAATTCGTAACCGTCCTCAGAAGAAGTGGCGTATAGATAACAGATGGATGGATAGTTATATGATGACTCATGTTAACATGCTGCCCACATGAAATTGTATCGTTGCTATAATGAGCCTTGTGGGCTGCAGGGTGGCTCAGTGGTTAGCAACGTTGCCTCACAGCTAGAAGTTCGCCGGTTCGCATCTCGGTGAAGACACCCGGGATCTTTCTGTGTGGAGTCTCCATGTTCTCCCCATGCAGCGTGGGTTCTCTCCGGGTTCTCCGGCTTCCTCCCACACAGTCCAAAAATATGTTGAAGTTAATTGGTGATTCTAAATTGTCCGTAAGTGTGAATGTGAGTGTGCTTGGTTGTCTGTCTCTAAGTGTAGCCCTGTGATAGACTGGTTACCTGTCCAGGGTGTCCACCCCAGTGAGGATTAAGCAGTGTATAGACAATGGATGGATGGATGGATGGATGGATGGATGGATGGGATGGATGGATGGATGGATGGACGGACGGATGGATGCATGGATGGATGGATGGGCCTTGCTTACGTCAGTTTTGACAGAAATTCAAATACAAAATCTCTTGCAAAACTGTTGCATACTTGAATGTGAACTAACTGAATGAGAAGTTCTTTTCTGTTTACTTTCTGAGCGACCAAATGTTTAACAGAGAAATGTGCTATAGGTTAGAGGAACAGGAAACAGCCCGGTTAGCCGCGTCATCCTGCTGGCAATGTGACTGAAGAACGATGAACTCAATTAACCAGCAAGTCCTTCAGCTTTACTTTAAGAACAAAAACAAACATTTTTCTCCGGAGATCAAGTTTGCTGTGTGATGAAAAACACACAAGGTAACACACTTGATCCTTGCTTTGCTTGCGCTCAATAAAAAACAGATGTTTCTGTATTAAAATGCTTCAAATAGCTCGAATAGCTGAAAACTGGAGTTTGTCCATCACTTCCAATAGTAGTCTGCGGCATCCTGGCCTGATGACCCCGGACTTCGCTACATGAGATCACAACAAAATCAGCAAAAACGCAACAATGCTTGTTGCGACAGTCTTGCAATAACAGCGGATTAATCCAGATTTAGACCAACAGTGCTGTGAATCAGAGGTGAATCAGGAACCACACAGAGAAGCCAGAGCGACGGCCTCAGACTCATATGACCTGATGGACGACCCCTTCCCAGCAGACGCATCCTACACAAAGGCATCAGCATGAGCAAGACCCCTGGCATGAGCCCACCGCTCATGTGTAACAGACGACTACATCCCATCATGCTGAGAGACCAGGAGGCCAGACCACTGTTGTTACTTCAGTTGAAAACTTTGACCTGATGGGCAGAGGCCCCCCGAAAATACCTCCAGTTCTTCCCACAGGTCCACACACCCTCCATTGTTTTTAACCACAATTAAAGTCTTTCCACTGATTATCCCAGCTGTCAGAGCAAAACATCAATATCCGGTGGGACAACAAAGATGGAATAGATTAAGAGACTTCCAGTAAGTGCTTTTCCTCGCTGACCCACAGGTTTATGGGAAAATACACCCACCGACCTGCTCCGATGGAAAGGCGAAGGGCGTGTCACGATTGGAAAACTCAGCAGGTGTGCTCCTTCCTTCGATTCAGTTCATCCATGTTGTACTTTTTCGATCTCTTTCCCACACATTTGTCTGTTTGTTAAACGCCATTTCAAAAAAATAAAAATTTCCACTTTTGCTTCAAATCATTTCAACATCAAACAGGATCTGAGTTTTTGTATTCACAGCACTGGTGCCTGGATGTTACTAATACTTCTGTATTTTGAGGCTTCTGACCCAAAGTGTAAAATTAGTCAGTTCCCTAAATCCTCTTCTATCATTAAGACCACAAACTATTCACTAAACCCTTAAGTTCTTACTAAATGCTATCAGCAGAGCGGTAAAAGGGAAACAACGAGCTAACAATAAGCACCAAGCCGACCATAATCCACTAATATTAAAAGGACAGAACAGACTTGGACACACGGATGTGTCACCAGAGACGTTCTGTTTGCTCAGAAAGCCTTCCTCAATCTATTCTCATGTTTAACTTAGTCACTCACTTTTGACTCATGACATGCAGACAATCTCAGTCAATATTGCCACACTTTTTTTTTGAGGAAGTCTAAAAGGCAATGCCACAGCATCTGTGTGAATCCTGTTTCCTGGATCGGCCTCCGTGTTACTTATTTTACTCAGAGGACCCTTGTTCTCCAGGGGCTGTGGAATAAAAGACATGCTTTAGGCCCTACTACCTACAGCTTATATAAAATTGTATTGACGTACCAATTCCTGATGAGCAGAAGCCTTAAAGATATAGTTTGGTATTTTGGAAAATTTGCTTTTTTACTTGCATGCAGTTAGATAAGAGGACTGGTGCTCCTGACAGGACTACAATTGCGTTTTTGCATTTTCATGTGGACAGAGACTTTGTGTGGCCTTACACAAGATTTATGTTCTATCCTAGTTGCACAAAGAACTGTCAGACAGTTAGAAACCTCCCTCCCCCCACACCTCTCTGACGTCAGACAGGGAGCGAAACTTTCCAAAACTTACAACTGTACATTTACATCTGCTTCATGCTGTGCAGGGCTGAGAGAGGAGCGAGGCGTTGTAACTCTGAAATTATGCACCACTATTCCTATTTTTTAATTACATCATGTCTCCCTCCCTCCTCTCTTTAACTCCCTGTGTTCCACTGCACCCTCCGGCCTAGCTGTTCAGAATGACTATTAATAGGACTGTCACGAGGATGAAATTTTAGATAGCAACTAATTATCATAAAAATTAAATATCAAACATTAGAGGTTAAGTGTTTTGAGACAAACAGCTGTTGAAATTACAAATATAGCAGAAGAACGGTGCGCAAATGGTAGAAAACAACATGGAAAAGGTGAAATATGACATTTCTGTTCCCTTTATCCAGCTGTTTTTAAACAGTTTTAACAATTTACGCAAAAACACTGCAGTCAGCTTCAATAAGTGCAATCAGACAATTACGTCTAAGCATAAACAAAGTTGATTTCTGTCAGTCAGACAACATTCTGCAAATAACTTCATAGAGACCGTAACTCAGCCCCGACTTGAATCAAACCACGTTTTGATTTTTTTGCAAAACATTTAAAAAATATTGATCTTTAAAGGTGTTTGCTGATAGCTCTTGCTACCTTTAGACTGTCCCAGCAAAAATGCTACCTCCTGATTTCAGTCGTTATGTGAAGCTAAGCTAACCAGCTGCTTGTTCTAGCTTCAGATTTGGTACACAGACATGAGTGTGGTGTCAATGTTCTCATCTAACTCTTGTACACAAATCAAATAAGTGGATTTCCCAAACTGCCAAACTCTTAGGGGTGCCTTGGTAGCTCAGCTGGTGGAGTGGACACGCCATGAGTCCTTGTGGTCCTTTACTGTATGTCATCCCTCTCACTTTACTGTACTTGTAGCCTAAAACTTTCCTGTGAGCTACATACAAATATGTCTAAAATAAGATAAACGTATAGTTACACACATTTCATCAGTGTCAGATTATCTAACTTCAAAAATGTGCGTTGCCACATCCATGCTGGCTGTCAGGTTAATAATGCATGAATTCTTATACAGATAAGAACACTGCTTATACTGTCACTCTCTAAATGCAAAACCTTTAAAATAGTTATAGTACAAAGGGTGGCAGCATGTTATTGCATCACTGAATCCCTGAGTTTTTTTCCTATTAATGATTCTGATAAGTCAAATAAAAAATAAATGCTTTTACTATCATGACAATTGTGTGGTTGTTTCCATCTCACTTGTCTTTATGACTTTAATCAGTTGATTTAAGAGTTTTTTTCCTGCACAGATAAATGTTTCCAATTCATTTTCACCTTTTTCATTCTTATTGGAGGTGGGTGTTGCATGCCACATTCTCTGCTGCATCCATCCCAGTCATATATTAAGTGGAGTACTAAATTTACTTTGCAGAGTGCATTGTGGGAGAATGTGTTTAGAAACAGCACTCACAAATCTGTCAGTTTTGTCGTCAAGAGTTGAGACGTGACAGACACGAACAATGGATCCAACAACTGTTTAATACATGCAGGAATGTCCTTATTAACCACGCTGGGTTTTGTTTATTGATCATCTATGTCAGACAGTCTATCTGTGGGATTTATTTCATTCCAACATGTATTTATTAATCCCAGTTTCCACAGAAATCACAAGGCATTCCTAGTCTTCAGGGTAATAGTAAACTGAAACCTCTGCACTGAATGAAGCCACACTGCCAAATCGGACTGAGCCAAAAACACATCAGAGTCAATCCAGGAGACGAAGGGAAAGTTTCCTCATATTTCAAACTGTAAAACACATTGTGCTTGAAATACAAACAGTCTGTTGGAGGATATTGTTGTGTTTGTGTTGTAATCACCGTTTCCAGTCGTCTACCTCTTGCTTTTATTGAAATATACGTGGCACCATGTTTTTAAGTCATGACAACTCTGACCACCTGAACATGATGAAGCCCACATCCAGAACTCAGTCCAAAGGCGTTTCTGTTATCCTGCACATTTCCAATCTGTATAGCAAATGCATTAATCAGTTTGTTTCCTACTGAAGTTAGAATGTGCGTGGCGCTTAACCCACCACTGAACTTACAGGATATTGCGTCAAGCAGCACCTGCCTGACATTGTACCAGGAGGAGGAAGGAGTGTGAATCCTCCAATAACTGCAGTGACTAATGTTAAGCATTAAGAAGCACTTTTTACCACAGCAGCTACTGACTGTGTGCTGAATGCATCGGGTTGTATCAGGGGGTTTTTATTTCTCAGCTAGCTCCTCTGAGGTTGATGTAACCCCACTGCAGACCTCTTAGCTACAGTTTGGACTGATCACAGGTGACAGTTTCAGAACCCGTCTCTGTATCCTGTAGAGGAGCTCGGCTGGCCGTCGCTTACAACTCGAAGGAAAACAAAACTTATACTCAATGCACTACAGCCAGTTATCATCACGTTTAAGACTTAGAAATATGGGTTATGATACTCATTCATTGCATTCTCCTGCTGCTTTCACCCATCATGCTTCCTTAGGTTAGACAAATGTATAGGCTCAACATGTCTGCAGTGTCCTTGAGTGGTGGTGCACATGTTCAATCTACATTTTAATGTCTTCATTTGTGTTTGCAAGGCACCGTTGTGGGCTTTCTCTCAATCGTTGGTTTTGTCCTGATTGAATAAAGGTTAAAAAAATAACACATAATGTTCCCAAAAGTCAGACCGCAACTCCTAAAGGTCAAGCCAGACAGACCACTTCATGCACAGTACTTCATAAAAAGAAAACCCTGCATACACATGTGAAACTGTATCTAAGTTCCCAGGCTGCATACTGTACTAAAAGCACAAAGACACTGACTACTCTGGGCCTAGTTTGAGGTAAACCACTAATCTACAAGACAAACCCAACGTGATGCTCGAGCAGGGCTTCACCAAGCAAACTTCTACATCAGCGCTGGTGTCGCTAACTTTTCCTGTTTTGCCAGTGACTGCAAAGTATTGTGTTGCAGCAGACTGTGGCCGTGGTGTCAGTTCCTTTAAGTCATGTCTGACATCCACGGCACCTCTTTCAGTTTACTTTGGGTCTGGTCTGGAGCCAAACTCAGGCAGCGTCTCTTTTGTTTCACGATGTCCGCTCCGAACGGAGGAGCTGGGCAGGAGGAAGCAAGAGCCAGAGATAAATAAATAAATCACATAACACTGTTGATCAATCGGGGAACACTGTGTACTGGAGGACAGGCTGAGCCAAAAAATAAATAAAAATTGAGTGGCTGGTCAGTGAGTGCACGCTGAAGCCATCACAGCTTGATGAAAACCTCTCTATCTATGAAAACATGCCACATAAGTGATTAAAGTTGAAGTATGCTGGCATCTGTACAGCTTCTTCATCCTCTTTTGTCTCCAGTTCCCTGCAGTCAGGCTCCTTGGCACATTGAACATGCATTACCTCTACTTTAGTCTGATCAGCTTCTCTGGCCTCCACACTGTTAATCAACACTGTGAGAACTGGCATTGATTGCACTGCTGGTGGTGTCATATGAGCCACTTGGTGCAATATTAAACTCTTATGTTTTTATGGTTTTATAAGCATTACTAGTGGTGGTGCTGACTGTACCTGCTGAGGAGGAGTCGTCATGGTCGGAGCTCAGGTAGCCGTCGCTCCTCCGGTCCGGGGTGCTGCACCCGGAGCCCCGGGAGGCTCTGCGGAGGATCTGCGGGAAGGACGGTGACAGCCTGCCGTCGTCCCCGGAGTCAAAGTCCCTGCTGTGGCGGAAAGGCCGCCGGTTGTCCCGGTAGACGTTGGACGTCCTCTGGCTGTCCCTGCCGCCGGTCTTCGGTGCCAACAAGTTATTCCTCACGAAATTCTCGTTGAGCTCCGTGTCTTCATATTCTCGGTCGCTGCTCTCCTCGTTGTCATTAGCTGGACGGACGGGGGCCGGCTCCACTCTGTGGAAGCTGGGCTTCACCGGCGGGACGGGGATGGGGACGGGCTTACCTGTCTTGCCGCTGAACCTGCTCCGGTCCCGGCCGAAGACGGCGGAGAGCCCCGCCGTGTTACCTGCCGCGTGGGGCTTCACGCCTCCAGACTCGGACACCTTGCCGCCCTCATCGTCCCGCCGCGGTGGTTTCCTCACGTTCCCCGTCTTGGAGAAGCCGAACGTGCCGCCGGCGTTAAAGTTCTCGTCCTTGCCTTCGAACCTTTCCGGGTCGTTCCTCCTCTGCCGAGCCATGGTGGTCTGCAGGTAGATCACCTTGAATTTCTCCTCCGCCAGAGCCTTCTGGAGCCGCTTCAGGTTGCCTTTACACGACTCCAGCTCCGACTCGATGTCCTCCACGGAGTTCAGGTCCATTTCGGGGACTTCTCCGTCGGGAAATTCATTCCTCCAGTGTTTCGCGAATTCGTCCTGCTCCCACATCGTGATGTTGCGGCCGCAGTCTGGGAGGAACGCTGAAGCTAACTGTTCTACCTTCACCGACAGTTAGCGGCGAGTCTGTCGCAGATATCCACCTTCCCCCCGTCCTCCTCTGCTCTCTGACAACAAAACGCCGTGTCGGTATTAACTGGACCACTTTCCGACCATCTTCAGCCTCCCACAGATACAGCTGACAGCCACAACGCGCTCCGTGTGCGAGAGTGTGATGCGGAGAACAAGTTTGCGACTCCGCTGAAAAGTTTCGCTCTTCCTGGATCCAGACGTGCTGCGTTCATGTGCAGCTCGGACACATGAGGCGTGTGCGCTTTTGCGGCGACAACATCAAATCAACGCAGCACGCAGAGGCGTTGTTAGGATCTTGACAGACTGGGGGCTTTACTTTTTTACCGTAACCTGAAAGCTGCGTTAATTTCAAATGACTTAAAGCTGTTTATATTGATAGTAATCTGGCTGCACTGCTTTTTAAATAGTGCAGGCGAAGAGATGCAGGTGTTATTGAGAAGAACGAGTTCACCCTTAAATGCAACACCCCAAATAAAATACTACTAATAATAAACAGAGCAAATCTGCCAATTGTGTTACTGACAAAAAAAATCTGTCCATAGTGTAAGTTATCTAACTACAGCACCTTAAAATAAAATACTTAAATGTGTTTTCCTATTTTGATTAGAGGTCATGTTTTATATGGGAAACCTCAGTACTATAATAATGTAAAAGCTGCAAATATCCTCCTGTGAGAATATGAAAGCGAAAAAAAAAAAACACCATAATAAAACATTTGACATAAAAGAAAAATGTTTTGACTTTAGTGAGAAGATCAGAATTTTATTGACAGTAAAATAATTGATCAGCCTATTTTGAGATATCCTATTCATTTTGAGGGTTTTAAATGTATTATTGGATTGACAGATGACTACATCCAGAGCAATTTCTTTTGTTATTCTTGTGTTATTCTTGCACAAAAAGAGTTTAGATCTTCAGCTGTTCAGACAACATTTGGGACTATAACCTTGGACGCCCACACTTAACAACGCCACTAGTCAGACACACATCGACAGTATATCTACAAGCACGCTTTCATAGCTTTTTAATTTTGTTTCGTTTATTTTGTATATTTTTAGATTTTATTTATTTTGTACTCGTTATTGTTTGGATTATGTGGTTACTGCGGCCTGTGCAATAATTTGCCCCTTAGGGATAATAAAGATATTCTTAACTACAACACATGGTTTTGGTTGTAGTTGAGAAAACAAACAATAATGCAGATCATGTGGAGAAGCGTGACAGTATAAAGGAAATTCCTGAACCCTAGACCTCTGCATCGAGGGAATCTGGTGGCTTGGTTATGCTGTGAGGGGTATTTTGCTGGCATGTTATCAGTGTACTTGTCGCCTTGGAGGGAAGGGCCACTGCCAATCAACACAAAGCTGTTCTGAGTGATCACCTTTATCCTGATGAGAGTGATCTCCTCCACGATGAACACCCCCACCCATAGGCCACAAGGGGTCACTGAATGGTTTGATGAAAACGAAGATGATGTGAATCCACTCTGGACAGGCCACTAGTTGGGCCAACACAGAGTCAGACAACCATGCACATTCACACTCATCACTGCAGCCAATTTAGAATCATCAGTTAACCTGACATGCATGTCTTTGTAATGCGGGAGGAGCAAACCCACGCAGATACCTGGAGAACATGAATGTGACATATGATTATAGCTGTAAATCATCATGAATAAAAACTAATTCCAAGGCCTGTAGTTTGAAACTGCTGGTCTCAGTGTGATAATAATGTGGATCATGGGCTAAGCATAGAACGCAGTGGGATGCTTTTACTTTTCCTAGAGCACAGTATCTCACATTTTATATAAATTTTACTCTGATATAACCTGAAAATGGGTAAACTGTCAGGTTTAGATTTAAAGAAAGCTAGAAATGGCAAATATGTCCAGATCCTAACAACACCTCTGATAGTTATTTCTTTAAATATTTCCAATCAGTGGTTCATACGTCTTGTATCTTCAGATAAAATATCTAATTGTAATGAAGTACCACACAGTATCACCTGTCAAGGCCTCCAGAGCAAAGAGTTCCGACAGCATTTGAATGCAACAAGTAGACTGTTAGTGAGCCATCAACAAACCAGCTTTAACTTGTGCTTAGATGTTTACATCAGGCAGTGCAACTATTAAAGGGGCTTTTTATTTTTATTTTTTGCAAAAGAACACAGTACGTCAGATAAAATGGTGGTTTATTACCAAATTCATGAGTGCATTTTCCCATAATGGAAATGTGTACTCATTAGATCACAGGCAATGGCTGAATAATTTCATTTTTTTCCAAATACTGAGTCACTACAAGGTTCACACTTGAATATAAAATATGCAATTATGTCAAAACTCTGTATTATAATCACAGATGACTTGACAGCGAGCAGCAAACTCTCTATTTGCTTTTGCAGTTTAGCACTACTTAAACACCTTTAGCTAAAGTACAGTAGATGTAATGTGTCTCTGCTAATCTAGTAGTTTGGACTGATTTAGATAAATTACTAAAGAAATGTAACTTAAAGTTGTGAACAAAGACAACAAACCTTATTGAATTCAGCTTTATTTTCATTGCTTTTGGTTTTCTGTTCAAACAACATTGGACTCCCATTACAGTTATTATGTTTGTTTCATCAGAACATATTACAAATGCATACCATGGCATCCAGGAATCACAAAAGGCTGTACGTTACTCTGAGTGCCACAGAAAGACAATGAGAAGCCAAGCCTCAAGAGGCCTCCTGTACTAGATAAACACAAATCCATTTTTCTTTTTACTATGGCGTTTATTCTTTGAGCTGCATGGACAGGCATTCCCCAAACAGAAGTGATTTGCCAACTTGCATTATTGCAGAGCAGGGCTATAAAAGGAGGATATAGACTGGCTCTGTTGCTGTTTTCCTTCCCTCTAGCTGGTGGTTTCTGTGGTTTGACATTCAGGAAGAGTTCTGAGTGAGCCTGTGCTCTTCAGGCTACTTGCTATCAGTCTAAGAGGAAACATGCATACTGCTATGACCGTATGTTCGCGTCACTGTTTTTGGCGTGCATTCGTCCGCTGGATACCGGCGCATTTCATAATTTGGAGTAAACACATTCTCAGACTCCTGCTTGTTTTGGTTGCTGCTATTTTATCATTGCCACAAAAAATATGCTGAGAATTTGTCAGCTCACTCCACCCTCTGGATTTGGAGCACCACAGACAAGCAGCTATTTTGCATTTAATATTTTTAGATTTAGCAATGATAAAAAAAAAAAAATAAAATAGATTCCTCTTACCTTGAAAACTTTTCTTCACAGTGATTTTCATATTGACGCACATCATCTCTGCTACTCCCTAAAATGGGATCACCTTAATCTCAGCAGAATCCACGCAGCTGTGTCCAGATGAAAAAACAACTTGGTAAGCAGCCAAGCAGCAGACTTCCAGTAAAATAGAGCTGTAACACTATACAACGCAGAAGAAAGTTATCACTGGAGGCACAGAGCAGAGGGTGGAGGCAGAGATGAACACTTGGTATTTTTTGAGTGCCCACTTGGATCCCTGCCCAGAACTGAAAGATCATTCTGCTAAAAGCTCTGAGTAGCCATTGATCAGCACTCATTGCAGGCCTGAGAGCCCTGATTGGGTTACTGTAATGAATAGACTAGAAAGGCTGCAACTAGCCTGCAGGCATGAAACTGAATCACTGATCACAAGCCTGATATTATATTGCAGGAAATGTATGGACTTTGCTGGTTAATCTACAAGCATGCTCGTGGATTTCATAACAGCAGCTGCCCAGCTGAGACAGTTGTACTTCCCTTGTGATTACCTCATATCAGTAAAGAAGAAGTCGAACCAGTTTTCTCGGCGTGGAGTTTAGTCCAGAGATAATGACTGGGGGAATAATACAGTGTGCCTGGCAAACTGCATTCTTCACATCTTGTAGCCGTTCATCAAGCGCCACTGATCTGAGCCAAACCTATATGAACTGCATTAATCAAAGGTGGACAAAAAGCCATAGAATGCACCAATGTAATGACGTATAACATTCTGGTAAATGCACTCTTATACTACGATTACACGCCTTTAACTTTGTGTTTTGTGTGCTCTTTCCCCCTAACTGTCCTCTCTGTGCACCTCTCTGCAGGTATTTCTGTCTCTGGAGCTTCAGGTTTCTGTTCTGCAATCACAGGCCTCAACAGTGTTTGTGTTTCCTTGTTTGTTAGGTTTCTGTCTCTGCTATCCTCGTCTCCCTCCCCCGTCATCCTCACCCCAACCAGTGGAGGCAGACAGCTGCCCTCCTGACCCTGGTCCTGTCTAAGGTCTCTTGAAAGGAGTTCTTTTTCTCTATTATTAAGTGCTTGTTCAGAGAGAATCTTTGGATTGACTGGGTTTCTGTCTACAACATTATTGGGCCTGTGGTCTTCATTTCTAAATTAAATTGACAAATATTCATCTTATTTTTCAACAAGAAAGCACTCTGGTTGTTTTAAACGTACAATACAAATAGCGATGACTTGTCTTGATTAAATGTGTAAGCTGATTTTTTTTTAATGATATATTCACATATCAATCCATCAAAATATTCTGAATGTTTTTACTCTGTAACATGATCCAGCCCTTCCTGCATCACAACTCAACATATTCCTAAACCACAGTTCTCAGTCCCCTTCACCTTCATTCTAATCCAGATGTCCTAGATTCCCAAAACGTCTAATTTAAATGTAATTCATCGCTACCAATGAGGAGAACTGACCAATACGATGAGGCAGACAGCAACAGGATGAAAGACACAGAATCTCTGTAATAGCAGCATGTACTGACATTGTAAACACATATGTGTCTTCTATAAACACCGAACAGCTTATCTGCAACATGCAGTATGTACATATACAACATGTCAGCAGTGTTGTGTTAAAATGCAGTGTCAGTAACACATGCTATTTACAACGGTGATACTCTGCACCATACAAGGCACCGAATCTTTGTTTAAAACGGCATAAATTAGAATTAGTGACTCCCACTCTTGGATTTATCATTGAATAGATCTGAAACTGTGTCTAACCAATTATATAATGACAATTGTACATCCGGGTTACATCAGCTGTATCTATCTGCCTCGTGTCTTTGTCTGCTTTGACTGTGACGAAGATGCAACATTGGTCTGTACAGCTGCACTGATTCTGCTGCATTTTGCAGGAGAGATGTGGGGAAACTGTTGTTTTTACTGCAATTAACTTTGGTCAAGAGTTAAAGACCATAACTGATGTCTCCTGATCATTACCCCCCCAAAACACTCATCTCTGTGTATTGAAGTTATATATTTATTCTGTGAAAACAATCTCGTCCTGCCTTTGAATGACTTAAATATAACTTTGCACTGTTGCCTCATCTAGAATGTGCAGCTCTACGAAGTCCCTGCCTCTCTCTCCATTCATCCCTTCTCTCAAGCACCTACAACTCTGCTCAAACACTATAAAGCAACTCTGTAGTACACATTGGCAAGTTGCAATATTGGAGTAATTCAGCCATACATGTTCAAACCAGAAATTGATTCTGAAGAATGATGATTCAGAAAGTTTCCCCCTGAAAATAGACAGGACATACCTATTAAATTCCAGAGGTCTGAATCAGTTTTTGAGACAGTCATCTTTACTATAACTGCAGTTGTGTATTTGAAAACAGTCCATATTGCCTCGGAAAATATCACCTAGAAACATCCCGTATTGTATTTGTTTAACCTATAGGTCCTCTAACACGAAACCTCTGCTGCCTAAATGTATCCTGGCATTTACTTTATTTTTATAAACGGGTGGAAGAGGACGTCAAATCCTACATGTAACAACCAACATTAAGTTGGTGCACTTGAATGTATTTTTAAATCAATCATCCACTCGGCCAAAAAGGTGATTGGCTGCAATCTGCCTTCTCTCCAGGACCTGCACGCCTCCAGGACTCTGAGGCGTGCAGGTAAGATTATGGCCGACCCCTCACACCCTGGACACAAACTCTTCCAGTCACTCCCCCTCTGGCAGGAGGCTTCAGTCCATCAGAACCTCACGCCACAAAAACAGTTTCTTTCTGTCTGCCACCAGCCTCATGAACAATGCCCCCACTGATGCCCCCCTGCCCCATCTGTATAAATGTAAATACCAACATATCACCACCCTCAACATTCCTGTAAATAACACTACTGTTCTATGGCTTTTATTTAAATTTAACTTTGATTCTTTGCACTCTTACAGATACTTTTATTTTTAGTTACTTTATTTTACTGTATATTTATTGTGTACTCTATACTTATTGTTGGTTTGTTGCACCAGAACAAATTCCTCGTATTGTGTGAACTATACCTGCCAATAAATCTGTTTCTGATTTCTGATGTAGAAATTGAAGTTAAAGGTACACACAATATGAGGTTACCACAATAACTAACATTATGTCAACACAGCTCATCAAAATAAATAAATAAATCAAAACGAATAATGCAAATAAAAGGTAAATCACTGAATTAGATATTTTTTCTTGCAACATTGCATTTAATTAAGCTGTGAGAATAGCTACCCTGAATTACTTTTTTGAGTTTAGGTGTGAGTGTGTCTATTTGTGATGAACTAGCGACCTGTAGAGGGTGCACCCAACCTATTGGTCAGCTAGGACAGATTTGAGCTCAATGCATCCCTTCATAAAGGATAAAGCAGATACAGCTAATGGATGGATGGATGAAGATTGCACAAGTAGCAAGAAATTCTGCTCTGATTCTGTCAAGACGAAAGCAGCAAGTAATATATTTGAGTTACGAAGTCAGAAGGAATGTTTAGTAAAGGTTTAGTAGTTGCTGTCAGCTGGATTCAAGACATTGACAATGCACTGCAGCAGTGAGAGGCCGAGGAGCTAAACATGCAGCTCCGACAGTCTGCTACCGTCCACTCCTGTACAGTGTGTTCGATGGAGAAAACTCCAATCAGTGGTACTGTGACGCCCTCTTGTGGCAAAGTGACAATTATTCAACGCTGAGTGCAACAAGAACAACACCATTACATAGCACAGTATTACATTTATTGCTTGTATAATTTCCACAAGACTTCTAGGACAGTGACTTTTACTAAACATACAAATGGTGCTTACAGGAAAACTGCTTTTTTTTTTTTTTTTTTTAGAAATTACTTGAAGACCACAGTTTGATACCACGTAAAAACAATAGAAAGTACATATGCTTTCCATGGTTCACGTTCTACACATTACTTAAAACAAAATGTACAGTACGAGGATATGAAAATAGATACACATATTATTATAAAACATGTTTCACGCTGCATCCCATGTGTGTAGAGGAAGAGAACAGGTACCGTTTCTTATCAAAATAACGACTTGTTGTCCAACACATAGAAACGACAAAACGCCACTCCAAATTCGTTGTGCAAATTTTCTCTGAAAACTCGATTAAGGCAACAATAGGACAGCACCACAAATGCAACCACTGGAGTTTCAGGTAGGTAGTATGAAAGGCCACAAGACAACCCTCCCCCCCCGCCCGCCCACCACCCCCAAAGATGGTACAAATATATTTTCAGAAGAAGACAAACAGCTACAGTTTTGGGTCAAAAGTTGCAGGTTATGATCCTCACTGGCCTTCCTGAGCAGTAGTCGGAAACTTAAAAAGAGTGTTTCTGATGATCCATGAGCCACCAATGATTAAGACTGGCCTCGACGTTATAAAAACTTAGTCGATTTAATGTAAATATATTTTTAAATAACAACAGTATCATAAATATGTACCACAACAATATACCAGTCTTCAGATCAAAGACTTTCACAGTGGCCTCAACAAATGTCCTTTTGCATAGTTAATTGATTCTCGCATAAAAAACTAAATCAGTGTGTAAAAGATGGTATCTAGTCATTATGTGCAGAAAGTCTGGCATTTGCTAGCAGAGCAAAGTGCAAAATCTATACACAGATTGCCACTGTGGCTATTCGCGATAGCCTCCGAGGGCAGCTTTCATGCTTTTCTGATGGCACTGGCCACCAAGGTTTCTCGCCTGGTGGTCACAAACGCCTGTTGTTTCTCATAATAGGCCGCCTCGTTAATAAAAGTGGGGTAGACCGTGCCGGAGCCTTGGTAGTGGATGGTCTTTCCGTCAAACGTTTGGAACATTGGGTCACCGGGGTTCAGCGGCTCCCAGTCACAGTCCTGAAACAACAACAAGCAATGACGGCAGGGAAAGTAACCCGAGTACGTTGCTCATACTAAAGTGATGTACTCTCATGTCGGCTAAGGAAGTCTCATTTCCTCTTTCGTATTAACCAATGCGGACAGGTTCAGTAGTGCAAACATACACTGATCAGCCACAACATCGAAACCACCTGTCTCATATTGTCTCTATTGTGTAGTCAGAATAACAGCTCTGACCTGTCGAGACGTGAACTCTAGAGACCTCTGAAGGTGTCCTGTGATGTCAGGCACCTTCAGCAGATCCTGTAAGTCCTGGAAGTTGTGACGTGGGGCCTCCGTGGATCCGACTTGTTTCTCCTGCACATCCCACAGACGCTCGACAGGATTGAGATTTGGGGAATCAGCGGTGTGAACTCTTTGTCAGGTTCTTTACACCATTCCTGAAATGTGTCCTGAAGTGTGGCAGGGAGCATTATGCTGCTGAAAGAGGCCACTGCCATCAGAGAATACCTTTGCTGTGAAAGGATGTACATCGTCTGCAACAATGCAACGGGAGCTGGCAAAAGTAGCATCCACATCGCACTGCCTTTATTGGCTCGCTTTCTTCTCACAGTGCATCCTGTTGCCATTCACTGCTCAAGTATACAATGCACATGCACCAGCCACATGATGTCAAAGAAAACATGATTCATTCGACTAGGCCACCTTCTTCCATTACTCCAAGGTCTAATTCTGACGCTCAGACGCTCCTTGTTGGCCTCTGACAAAGCCGCTCATATCCATACGCTTGGTCATTTTCACTTCTTCCTACACATCAGCTTCAAGAGCTGACTGCTCACTTGCGGCTTAATATACCCGACTCCTAGTCAGTTGTCATAGTAACGACATAATCACTGCTATGCCCTTCACTTGTCAGTGGTTTTATTGTTGTGGCTGATCAGTGAACAAGAGAGTGAAGGTATGCAGACTGCTGATATTTACCTGCAGGTTGGGGTGGACCATGGCGATGATGTTTCCATTGGCGTCTCTGGGGTAGTCGATCCTCTCCGACACCCGGAAAACTTCCACGGTACAGGAAGGGAACTCCATGCCTATAGACAGAACACAGAAACAACAGAGATACAGTCTGTGGTTATGGACTACACAGTGAAAGAGATGTTTTTCTAGTTAGAAGACTTAAGTTCCAAACACAAACTGTTCCAAACTGCCACCGGCTTATAAGAAGCATTGGAAGAGGATTTATCAGCAAATTATCATAACCCAGCTTTCCCTCATGCATTTTGAAGAGGTCAGAGAAAATTCAGATCCTCTGTGAAAACTTTTGTTGCTCTGAGTTATCTTGAAATAAAGGACAAAATTTGTTTAAAAAAATAAAAAATAAAAAAAATACACAACTGGGCCAAAAAGCTAGTTTAACGGCTGTGTTTGGCTGTACTTGCTAAATATTAATCCAAGAGGAAGCTTCTTTGCAAACTCACTAGTTGAGAGTTTTAGGTATTTATTATCAAGAACACTCAAGAACCATCAGTAATCTAAAACTTATATGAATCAAGGCTTGTTAATGATTTTAAGTTTCACACGGTTCAAGGTGTTGATGGTGGTGAAACTGCCTGGAGATGGATGTCAGGACTGTATCATAAGAAGCTGATAAGTGATGCTGTACAACACCTCCCCTTGTTGAGAGATGGCTGTTCCAGTTTGACATGGCAGATCTTTATCCATCCATTATCTATACACCACTTAATCCTCATCAGGGCCATGGGGGGGCTGGAGTCTATCCCAGCTGACTCAGGGTGAAGGCAGGTTCACCTGGACAGGTAACCAGTCTATCACAGGGCTACACTTAGAGACAGACAACCAAGCACACTCACATTCACACCTACGGACAATTTAGAATCACCAATTAACCTCAACATGTTTCTGGACTGTGTGGGAGGAAGCCGGAGAACCAGAAGAGAACCCACGCTGCACGGGGAGAACATGGAGACTCCACACAGAAAGATCCCGGGCGTCCTAACCAGGATGCAAACCGGGGATCGTCTAGCTGCAAGGCGATGGTGCTAACCACTGATCCACCTTACAGCCCATGGCAGACCTCACTCCTCTCTAAAACCATTTGTCTTTACTGTTCAGAATGTAAACACTGCTAAAGGAGCGTCCCTTATTTAAGTTTGAGTTTCAGGTGATTGACGAACCTTGAATCATGTGAGCTGGGAGTGGAAAAAATACATGCTACTCCCCACCACACTGAAGCCTCTTCAGTGTGGGGTAAAACATCCTCAAGGACCAAAAAGGAAGTCCAGATGGCTTTCAGGGTTCAGAAGCAATTTGTATTGCCTTGATCTGGATGACTGCGAATCTACAGACCTAACATCAAGAAGCAAGTGTTCACACAATGACACTGCTGGGACGCTGATGCGGTTGCCATGTTCACCTTGTTTGGATTGATTCAGTATAGCAGCAGCATCAATCTTTGTTCAAAATTTAATCTTAATCTGTCCAATATTTGTTGAGATATTTCGGTTGGGACCACAGCAGTGGAAGACAAAAACATCAATTGTAGGACTCCATAATTATGTGTCGTAAAAATGTATGCAGCAATCTGTCAGGGTAGAGGAAATGAACTAGCACATGGTGTAGTTCTGGTTTTATACACAAGTTGAGCCAAACATGGGGAAAAAAAAGTCACACATTTTATATACATATAATATGTTTTTATGTGATTGCTGCTGTGTGAGTTTGAAGTCCCTGTAACTTCAACTGTTAGGTGCATACTTCAGATATTTATACATACACATGGGTATCTCATCAGTTTTCATGTTCTTGGTGAATCTAAAATGCAGCCTTAAATATGAAGATGAATCTTAAACAGAGCTACATCACAAAAAGCTGGACGGTTTCTCACACTTTCTAAGTGGGCCCTGCTCAACCTTCAGAGCTGCACAGTAATTGCGGCGGTGTTTTGGCACAGCTCAGACGCTAAGTACGTACATTTTCTAATTAACTGCTTTACCTGGTTAACTGCATTGATATGCAAGTGGCTGCACAGAACAGGAAGGACAAATGCTCCGGCAGTCACAGTTCGAGTCGACGTGGTTGGCGGTTCTTCTTCAGAGCAAGACGCTTTCAGCTGTAACAAAATTGGCTCTCACAGCGAAAGGAGTTGTTCCTTCATGCTGCTCAGCTTCAAAGCACAGGAACACCAATTCATCACCATGCCAGAGCATTCATTATAGCGCCAGTGTGGTCCCACTACAGAAGATTACCACGCCACTGGCAGCCAGACTTTAATGACATGGAAACTGACCAACTCCCAACAAGAAGGCCATTCAACCGCAGGACAGTCAGAGGAAACCGGCAGACTGCAACTCGCACTTGGCACGGACCGCCTGTTTATGTAAAAAGTGGAGGGGGGGGGGGTCACTGCCGTGGACCTGAGCATTGCAAACACTGTTGTGCGCCTCGGGGTAGAGAACGGGCAGAGCGGAGGCAGGATGAGGCAGATGTAGATAAAATTAGAGATGTGAGTGTAGGTACATCTGGTTGAGTCAGACGCTCTCCCCCATGGGCATTTTGTCACAAAATGTTTGTCGTTACAGGGATGCAGGCAAACAAACTGCTTGTAAACAACCTATTTTCCTATTACATAACACCTTATGAATCATAAAGTTAGGCTCCGAGCACAAATTCAAGAGACAGTTTAATATGCAGAAGAAATACAGACTAATGCAGCGTCCGAGTCCGTTAAAGTCTTGTGACATGCCCGGTTGTGGATGTCATATAGCCGAATGCGGCGGGTTACAGTCTTACCTTCGTTGAACAGTTCGATGAAGTCCAGGGCATGCTTCAGTATGACTCTCATAGCTTCAAAGATGTTACTCCTCAGAACACCTTGAGGCTGAGGACCCACTTCCAGACCTGTGATGACACAATCAAAAGATGTATTTGCACACGATAAAACTATTGTCTACCAATTGGGACTTCTCATAGTTTAATCGTAGGAGACACTTGAACACTTCAAGTGTTAATGGCTCCTTAAGGATGTAAGTATCTGGAACTCCCAACTACTCAGTCATAGCTGATGAAGCCTCTTGGATGAGAGGTGGAACGTCTTCAAGCAAGTCCAGCTGCTATGATTAAACTACAAGAACAACCATGACCTGGATGACTGAGAATCTTCACAGACATACCAACTGGTAACTTGGTTGGGAATAAATTATATGTTATCTATTGACCAGGGGCAGGGCCAGATTAGCAGATTACGTGGTATTTGGGGAAGGAGTTACCCCTGAAACCCCTGAAATCAGGTCATCATGGCCCAAATGTGAGTATTGGGCATCAGAGCCTCTGGATGAAGGGACTCTTAACAGTTCTTGTAGAAAAAAAAACAAGTATGAAACTAATAATGACACAAAAAGGCCAAAAAGAAATTCTGAATAAACACAAAAGGAAGCAAACAGACCATGGTGGGAATAATATTGACCACAAACAGATGTAAAATTAATGCACTCTAAGCAACCACACATGGACAAAAATGACCACAAACAAGTGCAAACTGAGCACAGAGATGCAAAGTTGCTACCGAAAGACCAAGAATAACTACAAACAGAAAAAAATGACAACACAAATACATAAAAACAACTACAAAGGAACACAAAAATACTACAAAGAGACACAAATCTCCCCACAAAAAGATCATAGAGAGAAGAAAAACAACCACAAAGAGTAAAATAAATGTAAAAAATGACCACAAAGAAATTCAAAGTTACTGCAGAAATGAAAAAACAATGGATAACTGGCTGGTAATGAATAAAGAGACTGATGAAACAGAAACAGTAACTTTTCTGATAAGGTTAGGAAATTATTTTAATATTTTAAAATGGAAAATTCTGCAAATTTGCTAGAAAAGGTTGTGTGGCTGCTGATTAAAATCCTTTGCCTTTCTTTTGCTGTATATTATATCATGCATAAAGACTTGGTGTTTAAATAACATCTCTAATATGCTATAAAGCTGATCTGTGCCACTGATGTTGATCTAAAAACGACTGCTTAATAAAATCTATGTGGCAAAAACAATCGCACCAAGAGATAACACATAAGAATAGGGATGCAAAACACCATTACAGGCAATTTGAAGTTACAAATAGCACTTTTTTTGCAATTTGTTTCTCGTTATAAAATTTAAATGCATTTATTTGGCAGAAATCTATCACACTGAATACATATTCTACCTATTAATAATGTACATTTAGTGACAGCTGGGTATCACACTTTAAAATCTTAACATGTGTTTTCTCATTTTATTCCTTCCCCCTTCTTTAAAACTGTGCCCCTGGTCTCTACTCCCACCGCTGCCCCCGTCCTCTGAGGTTTGCCGGACTAGAGAGACTCACCAACTGGGTGCTTGGCTACAGAGCGTGAAGTGGAATATTTCAGAAGAGGATGTTCATTCAGCAGAACAAGACAACTAGCTGGAGCAATGGCTTTCTGGAACACAAAACCAACAAAAAAAAACAAAGATGTCAGCTGCGCATGAAAACACACAAACACCACAACACACCAAGCCAACTGTTTTAAGGTTCTGCTCGACAGAATGGAAAATTAAATCTGCATCGGCTCATGCTGGACCAAATGTGACGCACGGAATAACAAACAGACACGGAGACCATGTGTATGAATCAAGCTGGAGCTGGTAGCCCGTCTTAGTCATCAGGAAAAAGCACATTTTTAGACCATCGTGATTCACGGTTTATCAGATAAAGTGTCATCACAGCGGTCCTCTACATCATCCGATAGGGTAAAGAAGTTAAGTTATGCTCTGCTGAGTTCAAACTGTTAGAGGTTCAGATAATAGCAGGTTGTTTGTGCTTATCAGCTTTACATGAGCGATGTGTGGATCAATGGAGGAGCCTAATGGACCCCATCATGAGGTAATCAGTACATCATCATACTGTACGGTACCTGAACACTCTTCCTGTTTCCTTGTTTAAACAATAAACGGGCAGAAAAGGATGGAAAATGTTCACAACCCAAAGATATTCAGTTAGGTGTCATAGCAGAGGAAAGAAAAAGAGAAAATGCTCAAATTTGAGGAAGTAGAATCAAAGAATTTAGACTTTTTTCCCCTAAAAATTGCTAAAGCGATGGAGCGTTTATCAAAATAGTTGGCAATTGATTTCATAATCAGCAACTAATTTATTATTCAATTTATTGCTGCAGCTCTATTTCCCATAGATTTAGTTCTTACTTTGGATGTTTTAACAGATAGATCCACTGAATTTAACTGTGAAGCACTGAGAAAAAGCCTCTAAAATCAGGACATCTGAATGTGAAGCAGCTCCTCAACAGAAGAACGATCAGGAAGGTCGAGCAATGCGTCATTAAGTAAATAATGTTTATGATTTACTGGCTGTGTAAGTGGATGATTTGTGAAGTTAACCTTCAATCTATGTAAATATGGGTGACAAAGGAAGCAAAAAAAAAATCAACTTTAAGTGTCTTGGTAAGGTGTTGGGCCATAATATTCCACCAGAACAGTTTCAGTGCTCCTTGACATTGACTTTCTAAGTCTTTACACTCTCCTGAAGGGATTAACACCTTTCTTCAAAATGATTTTTCCTTATTTGTTGTTTTAATGATGGCAGTAGAGACCGCTGTCTAAAATAGTGGACCATAATCTCCCATAGGTGTTCAGTAACGTTGAGATCTGGTGACTGTAAACTCCCTATGCACTATGAATGGAGACATTGTCATCCTGGAAAATACCATCAGGATAGAAAAGTTTCATGACAGGGTAAGGGTGACGACTCTGTAATGATTTGCAGTGACCCTTTCCTCCAAGGGCACAAATGGACTCAAACCATGTCAGCAAAATGTTCCCACAGCAAACAGAGCCATTGGATCCCCTCACTATAGGGGTCAAGGGCTCAGGTTTTTCCTTTAATTTGTCATCTGTATCTCTAAAAGCTATGCGCACATTTATCACGAGTTCTGTTGCTGATAAAGAGCGTGTTGCTTTTGGCTCCGTTTGTCCTCCCTGGTGTTGCTCACCATGCTTTTGTTTTGAGTTGAAGAACAAGAAAAGCATGAAAGAGTCAGTGACAGATGTTTAAAACCGAGACTGTGCACAATGTACTATTCTAAATTAGTCAGTAAGCAAATGTAATAGTGTGCAGATTTATAACATTTAGTAATATACAACGTGATGAATGTGAGATTGAGAGGCTTTCACCTGTTGTGATAATTATACTACTATTTTTTTTCCTGCATAGAGGAATTTCTGAAAAGGAAAATCACCAGCAGCAAAATGATACAGTTGAGAACAAAAACAGCAATTTGATTTATTTTTTTTAACAATATTGTAATAGCAATATCTGCTATAAATAAAGCCATAGACCTTCACACTAAACCCACCAGACTTATTAGAGACTATCATTGCTGCTGCATATGTTGTCCATATCTTTAATCTGTCTAACAGAGAAAGTGAAAGTTCCAGCCTCTTTATAAAAGACAGCAAATTAGACAAAAGGTATCAAGAGGTCAGTCTTCATTTTTTGTGCTGTTGAAGAAAAATAAAGCCAGTTACAGTGGCTTAATCCACTGAAACCTGCACGTTATATTCAACGGACCACATCAGGAGGGACGTGAGTGCAGACAAGCCTTGCAGTATGGCTTGACGTGATCTTTAAAAGCCTTTGATTCTGTAAATCATGTGAGCTTGTACAAATTCAGAGCTACTGGTCTGAGTGGAACAGACATCCAAGAATAGAGGCCAATACCTTGTGGGGTCCCTCAGGTAAGTGTACTGGGAACATTATTCTTTTTATCATACATTAACAACTTCAAACCTACCTATTCATGTGACCTCTGTTTTTACGCCGATGACACTGCTTTGATAGGATCTCATGAAAATGATCCTTCAGAGGTAGAAAAGATTGCTGTTTGGCTCTCTGGTAACAAATGTCCTCTTTGAGGAAGCTAAAACAATGTCCAAAACTCCAACACTAACAGCAGCTAAAACTGCTGTTAATTATTTAGGCTGCATTTTAGATAATCAGCTCTCATGGCGCTAAAAGCATTTGGACTCAACTGTTAGGTGGAAAAGCAGCCCTGCTTTCAGTGTAACAGTAAAAATCCTGGCGGGGACTTTAATTCAGTGTCACTTTGATTATGAAGAGAACTTGTGGCCTACAGCAGCTCTCCACCATTCATCACCAACATGCTGCAGATGACTCAAAATAAGCATGTTAAGGTCAGAGCCAAACATCCCCCCTGAACACATTCAGATCTGGAACGGATTCAAAAGCTCTTTGCATGCAGTGGAAAGAAGAATTATCCAAATGAAGCAAAGTCTCAATTACAAATTAATAAAGAATACTGTCAGAGGACATGATAATTATGGAAAAAGACGCAGCTTGACTAATGTTATTGCTTTGAGATTAAAGAGTTCCACGGCCAATAACACATTTATATACACTGCTGCTGCGCTCTCAAACGGCCAGCTGAGACTGATTCTACATTTCTGACTGATGAATAGCCGATCATGAGTGTGTCTGTCTGCTCTCAGGGGTCTCGACTGTTTGCCTGATTTTTGTTGTTGCACGTGTTTGTGCTTAAGTGTGTTTTTCCTGGCTTGAACATCTGCCATCTTACCCCTCTTTTCCCTTGAGAGGACTTTAATTTAACAGTGGCTGTGATGAGCTCTTAGCTTTACTGTTTTTATCCTGAACAGTATATTCGTGTGGCAATGGCAATTGCATTAATGCCTGATGCTGTTAAATAAATCTTATATCTCTTTAGGGACTCCCTGAACATGTTTTATGGTTTTAAAGATAAAGAAGACGTCTCCTCAGGCTCATCTGGGGTTTCTGGTTGAGAGCACATGATTACCTTCAGCATATTTGGATGGTTGAGCTTTTGAATGAGTTTGCCCAACACTCAACAAGTCATTCTACTATTCACACAATGTTAACTCAACTGTAGTGAAGAGAGCTGACTTTAGTAAATTATTGACTCAGACAGAGGTCAGAACAAATCAAAGACCTTGAGTCACCCAGTGGTAAACGAAGCATTCACATCTTTACTTAATTTAAATATGCAACATTTCTTAAGTGAAATATTATCAGCAATTTGTACTTAAAGTGCAAAGTACAAATATTCCCTATGCACCAATACGGGCTCTGTCACTGTTCTATTTTTACATGTTATACCAATGCATAACACACAAGCAGTATTAATTCACACAACTTTATAAATCATCATTAACAAAAAGAGCTGTAATTGAATAAGTCGCTGCCGTACTTTCAAGGTGCATTGAACTGTACATGCATTTCATCTATGGTCCCCAAACACAATGTAAAGTTCAAATTCTCCAGAAATCCCGTGTTTTGTCTGCACACTGTGTTCCACACACACACCTCAGGACTAATCCCATTAACACGGTGCTGCAGTCTAATCTGTAACTAGCTGCTGGATCCTATTAAAAATGCAAAGTCACAGCCTTTTTAGAAACATCCACAGGAGCCCTGTGTGTGTGTGTTTTTTTTTCTGGGGTTGATATGAGGGGAAACGCAACCATCTGTGTAGCAGAATAACAACATAATAGTGCATATTGTGTATGGATAGAACTGCATGTTGGTCCACTTTTAAAGATGCACAGGCTGCACCTTTTACTCACTGTATATCCTGTCATGATAGGTTTGCAATGTCTAAAATGCTAAACTAAAAACTTGATGGAGTAAAAAGTCCTAATATATTCTACATAATACGGTAATATTTACGTCTGAAACATATTGTTGTCCAAGTAGAATGTAGCATGAAAATAAAGCATTTAAAGTACAATTTAGAACCTGAGTAAATTGAGTTAATTTAATGTAGAGGTGAATTTACTCCACTGTTGTCACTTCTGTTCGCTTTCTTTCATATTGAAAAGTTGACAGAACAAAAATGTTTCCCTACATTCAGGACACTGTGCTTTTTATGCAGGATGTTACTTTAATTTTTGGCCACATCAGAGCAAAATTAATGTCACTGACTGAATCTTCTCTGTAATAAATACCAGTAGAATAATAACTTTTCTGATCTGTGTTTTACCAGCTGCAGTACCAGCAGTGTGACAGCAAATCAGAGCCAAACATAAAAACGTATTTATGTGATTTCTGCATTTTATTACTCTTCTTCCTGTGAAGCACCTTGAGATGTTGCCTGATTTTAAAGTGTGCTATACAAATAAAATGTACCATTATTATTATTATTGTATACAGCATGTCCAGCATCATGTACTATTTACTGCTCACTCTCTGGTTTTTAAATTCACCAGTATCTCAATGTGCCAGCAGGTTCCTCCACTGACTGCTCGTAACTAAGAGCCTTCAGTTCGCTTGGTGTATTTGTGATGTTAGGTGTACGGTAAGATTTGAATTTTCTCTTAGCGGCTGCCACCTTTATGTAGTTCATCATCTGCAGGTTGAAGTGGTCTTTGGAGCTCTCCAGGATCAGGGTGCAGCCCATGTTGGACGTCGTGTTGTGGAGGTCGAAGATAACGTCGTAGGCATCCGGGCTTCCTTTGGGTCCAAACACCCTGTTGATCTCCTGGGCTCGCTGCACCTCGTAGGGCAGCTCATCTCCTCCCGGGGCACTGCAGGCCACACACACACACACACACACACGTAGCGTCAGAAAGCTGTCAGACGTCTAAACATTCACAGCTTATCGGAAAGTTCAGCTGAAGGAACAATGAGCAATGAAACGTGTTAATTATTTACACCGGGATGTTCCAGACGGCATGTCACACTTTAACCCCACGCTGGAAAAATCTCAACAAGCTGGAAGGTAGCACAGGGTTAAACCGTAGGAAGGATCAAAAGCTGGAAGACAAGTGCTTCTCGTTTGTGTGCTGAATGTGCACCTTGTATTGAAACACTTCTCCAGGAAAACATTAATGACTGCAAATGATCCCTCGGTGGTCGCTGTGCTAACGTGTTTATGGAGAAAGTCAAGGCGGCTATTAAGTCAATCCAGGAGCACAAAAGCTGCATTCAGCTGGACCCTTTGTGACCATTTACAAGAAATCCTATCCACTCTTCTTCAAGTCTTGCGTGTCTGCATTGAAGAGAGTGTGTTTTGTCCCCAGGCTGAACTGTCATCCTGCATGCTCTGACCAGAGAATGAGAGCTGCCCTCTTTTTTTTCTCTCTCTCTTTTAAAGCATTTCAAAATAACCCCCTAGTCCAGGACATTCTCCAAGCTACAGTAGAATAGCACCTCTGCTGTCCATATTGTCTCACATCTGCCCTTTAGACCTGGTTTTCAGCAGCTATCTGCTATTGTCTGGCCTGCAGTACAGCAGCACGGTGTGACCAGCAGCTGATAAAGTGGTCTCCAGCGCACTGACTGCAGCTGAGAGGTCACACGGGTGCTTGTATTTGAGGAGCTGTCAGTCTATTTAAGTTGAAGAAAAGGAGAGCATGAGCTGTTTTTAGTAAGAGTCTCCAACTGGTTAATCTGCTTATACGTTTCCTTCAGAGAGGCCAAACAGTGTGTAAGCTGGAGACGCTGAGAAAATCTTTGAAGGTCAACTAAAATCTGCACGAAGAGGCTGGAGCGCTCTCAGCTGTCAGCATCACTTTATTTTAGCCTCTATCGGTCAAACACAGAATGAAGCACGAGAGGAATTATGTCATAATAATGTTTTTTAAGCGTAGTTTCTGTCACTTCTGTAGGACTTTGACGTTAACATTTTAATTCGTCAGGTATACTTGCATAGTAAATAATACTGTAGGGTCTCAACCTTAATATTTATGTTAATTAGTTTGTATTTTTAAGTTTTTGTATGATAAATAATGTTGTGGGGTCTAAACTTTAATATGTAAAACTGTCATATAAATGGTTATACAACATTTTAGGATCTGAATCATAACATTTATGTAAATGAGCCAAGTAAATGTATACAGTAAATAATATAGTAAGGTCCTAATGTTAATATTTCATATAGTCAGGTTAATCTGTATCATGAATAATACTTAACCTTAATATTTAAACTTGGGAGGGAAATTTGTGATGACAGTTTTATGTCTCTGTTTGAAACCATGCTGGCTCAACCAAAATCTAAAAATACTCCATTACTAGTAAGGTTCTTGCATTAAAACTTCAGTGACTAGAAAACTAGAAGTATTAGACACTAAATGTACTTTAATTAAAATATTTTAGAATTACTACATTATTGGTTTATGGTTATTTATGTATTAATGTCAGTTGACTATTTCATATACAGTTTGGTATATGAACAGGGGCGGCGAATGTCTGGCCTCCCCTAAAAACTAGAGATGCACGATATATCGGCGACTACATTGGTATCGGTATTGGTCCGAAGAACAAATTTAGCCGATGTGAAAAACTGATGATTGTCTAACATCAGCGCCTTCGTCTCTACATTTGATATCGCTGCTATTTTGCAGATGTTTTTACTTAAACGGTCCTGGACTTTAAATATGTTAAAATATGTTTAAACATGTTTTACTTTTGTTACGTAATAACGGAGACTATGTGGTCTAATTTGGGCTTCTTTTGAATAGTTTCTCACAGTGCTGACTCATTTTTCGTGTGAACAAAAATTGAATCTCGACATCAGTAAGATCAGTTATCGGCGATATCAGAAAGCTTACTATTGGCATCGGCCAGAAATTTTAATATCGTGCATCTCTACTAAAGACCCACAGTGAAGCCTGTTGGAAAGCTATGAATGAACTCGTAGAACTGGAGTTAAATTCTTACCCTAATGCTTGGAGCAACTGTTCCAGATTCTTTTGTATCAGCTAAGTGTTACCTAAGAAAAAGCTCCCTATGTAGGCAGCTTTCCACGGCAGGAACTCGGAGGCAGTCACAAAGTGGTGCAAACGTTCTGTTCCTAATGGGGGGTAGAACCAGCGTTAATTCCAAGTGCGTCCAAACAATGGAACAAAGTATTTACTGATTTGAACTCCAGTTCTAGCAAAACCTAGAAATAGAGCAATGGAGGGTCCTTGTGTAAGTATATGTTATTGCTGATGATGATGCTAAAAATTAAAATACTGCTACTTGACAAGGACATCGAGAGGCCAGAATAAAAGTTCTCCTCTCTGAATTTAACCTGCATGTGTTTCAGGTCCACTCAGTGGTATCTACCCTGGAATAGGAATGTTTCTGTTCCTTGCAAAGGGCCGTGCAAGAGGTTCTTCAGAGGTGGTCACAAGTCCCTGCTGTGGAAAACGACCTATTCTCTCAACTTGGTCACTAATAAATAAATTGTGTGCCTTTGTCAGTGTTAATAAGGCACCATATTTAATCAACTGGTCACATCTTTAGTGTTTAAAATCTTAACCGGAAAGGTATATATAGTGGGTAAAAAGCATACCAATTTACTTTGACATGTTGTGGAGAGAAAGAGTTAAATGGCTGAAAATGTAAATAATGAAGTACCTTTAAACTGCCCTTCAGCACAGAACCAGAGTAAATCTACTTCAGAACAGGAGCATCCATAAAACAAAACCTGATTAAATGAATAAATAACAACGCTGGAGATGAGACTACAAACACTGTGGATGACATCCTTGTGATGATTAATGAATAGCGGGGACGTTGTTATCCAACCACATTAGTAAATAGGCTTCTGCTCCTGCTGTGTGTGTTCATGCGCATTCAACTATGAGCCAGCGTTTGCGTAAGACTTGGGTTTTCCGCTGTAGTGCACACACGCAAAAGAAAAGAATAAAAAAAAAAGAAAAAAAGAAAAAGAGGTCTTAAATCATTTGCAGCTCGGTCACGTTCCGCTCACGTTTTCGCTGCTGGCTGGCAGTCAGCTGGAGTCCGGGAGGAGGGGACACGCTGCTCCGCTGTTATTGGCACAGGGGGGCGCGGAGAGGGGGGACACGGATGGTAAACACACACATCACACTGTACCTGTGGTGGGTAGTAACAGCGTGGCGGAAATATACACGTGACCACAAGAGGAGATCAGATTTAACAGGGCATGTCCGGTTTGATTGGCACCCAGCGGTTTCCATTTGGAGACTGTGGATGCGTTTATCTGTATTATTGTGCCAACCACATGGATTCTTATTTGTGTGGTCGAACACACACATCTATGTCAATAACACTGCATGATTTCATTGTCAGTCCACAAATCGTAGTCATGATCTGCAAGGGTCAAACACTGAACCGCTGGACAACAACACGCGATGGCACCGTGCGCCTTTGTTTTGGATTGAGCATAACAAGATCTCAAACCGGATCCTGTTTCTAAAGTCTCTTTTCTGGATCTGTGCCATCAAAAGTTTCCATTCAACATTTCATGACAACAGCCAGGAACAACAATAGTAGCAGCAGCGGCAGCAGCAGCAGCAGCGTGTTTACCTGAGGTTCTCCGGGGTGAAGGCTCGGTTCAGGTCCGTGTCCACGTATCTGGTGCACTTCTCCACAGCCTTCGGGTTGGTGATGAACGGCTTCGCCTCGACTCCCTTCCTCTGAATCTCGTCGCTGTTCTTCATCCACAGGTTCACCAGCGTCACGCCTGACATCTCGTTTCCGTGCGTTCCTCCGAATATCGCCACCCGCCTGGCCTCGGTGAGCCGCGCCGTGTTGTTGTACGAGGACATGTTCGGAAGCAGAAGAAGCCGAGGACGGACACGCGGGTCTCAGAGCAGCGGAGGAAAAGTTTCCAGGTGGAGCTCCACAGCTTCTCTGCTGAACTGCCTGCTCGGGCTGCGCTCTTACGTAACGCGCCGCTGCCTTGTTGTGGTCGCTCACCGTGCGTAAAACGCGCTGAGTTCGACATGTGCGTCTCGGGTTACACGCGAAACTCTCGCTCGGTTCCTCCCACTCTTTACTTGTTAGTGTTTACTTCCCACTGTCACACTCACAGGAAACAACAGCTGCGTTCATCAGACGAAGTTCTCCAAAAATATCATGACATTTCCATAGTTTAGTTTGAACAGGTTAAGATTCTGACACACACTGGGCTGACTGGGACTGTACAGGTAGACTGTCAAGCCAGCACATGACGGGATCCACTCCTTCTGGTATTGTTCTCCAAAATAAAACCATAAATCATATTTACGGGATGCAAAATAACCTCTGAAGTCAAATTCACTTCAAGGACAACTAAAAATATGATTGCAGCATTGTTTTTTCTTTCCACTTACAGTTTATGTAATCACATCATTCTGCATGACAGTGATTAACTCTAACAATAAAACCACTGACAGGTACAGTGAATTACACTGATCATCTCATTACAATGCAGCTGCTTGTGTCCTGGCATCCATGTACCTAAACATTGCTGCAGACCAAGAGCACCCTCCATGGCAACAGAGCTCCCAGACAGTGGTGCCAGCACGTGGCCGAGAATCTACCGCTGACATCCCAGTGCCAAACACCACGGGACAACGCCAGAGGTCTTGCTGTCCATGTCCCGATAGGTCAGAGCTGTTTTCATAGTACACAATATTAGACAGATGGTTTTAATGTTGTGGCTGATAGGCAACAACTAAGATTCTGCTAAATTTGCTGTTGAGTCTAACGTGTTGCTTGAGGTAATTATTAGTGTCTCCTAACCACATTAAAAGTAAAAAAGCAACAGACAAGTCAGACGATTTTGTGCAAAACTTCCAAACACATACAACAAACTAAATTCTAGAGAATGTACTAACTTTCTTAAAAAAGAATTACTGCAAACAATTTACCCAAAGCAGTGGGACAATATCACATGACCTGATGAACGGTACACCGAGTGCTTTTCTTTCTGTTTCATCCCTCTGTTCAGACGCCCACCAGTCTGTAAAGCAGACCTATCAAGAAATCTGAAAACATCAGCTTGGTGTTTGTGTGTAAACAGAGCTTTTATAAGGACCTCAATCCTCAATCGAAGTGCACACTGGTTACTGAGGCAGTGTAAAGCTCACCTAAATAACAGGAAACAAGCTAAAATTTCCAACACAGAAACCAGCAATCCCAGATTAAACAATTAGAATTTCAAGCATTAATGGCACCAGTTCAGGATTTGGCACGCTTGAGAATTTAACTTGTCTATAATTTCCACTCATGGCAAAGCTGCAGGCAAAAACAAAGCAAGCATAAAGAAAGAGCCAGCGTCCCTGTGCTGTACTGAAAACCGACCTTTTCTTTTCCATATCCATTAGAAGCCAGACTATGTGTTCAGCTTTATACCTGTTAGGTTGGAAGGCAGTGTAGTTAAATTAAAACCACCAAAAAACAGACCCAGTACACTGTGAAATTTAGTCACACACTAACCCTTTAAGCTGTAGGCTATATTATTGAAATTACATAGAAAAAAAAAAGCAAAAAAGCAAAACTGTGAGGTTATAAAGAACAACATTATACTAAGAGACGCTTGGAAGAAGCTGAAAATAGGTCGGCTTGTCCTTAATTTATCACCAGATCAGTGTGAGTTTTAAAAAAAAACTGTAAAAATTGATTTTTTCCCCCCTTCGGCCTAAACAAAACTGTAAATTAGAGTAAATATATTAGATATTATAACCCTGAGACACTGAGACTGACGCTATTGAACCTGTTCTAAGAAAATCTCAACTGCTAAAAAAAAAAAATGTAATTTTCATATTCAGACGCTTTTATTTTGAAATTATACATTAAAAAGTGCCTTTTCTCAACATAAAAAAATACAACAATGAAATGTGAAAATGCTTTGATACAAAACAAAACACATCTTTAAAAAAGGTAGTTCATGTAAAAACACTGACAGCTCGATGTATTTGAGAAGCCGATCTGAGCGGCTTCACACTAACAGTCTGTAAAGAAATCCTCAGTGGGACTGCAAAGTTTCCGCTTTGCTTTTTTTGTGCTTTTTTTTGCGGATGCTGAGCGAAGAGGATGGCTCACACTGAGAGAGAGAGGTGTCTGAAAACACAGGGCTGAAGCTGGACTCTGTCTCTCTTCTGTTCTTTTTGGGTTTATGAGCCTCGATTTCTGTAAATGACTTTGCCTCAAGTGAAACTGTGTCACTCTCTTTGACCTTTTTCCTCTTTTTCTTGCCCTTCACATCATTGAGTGGCTGATTTCCTGGTGTCTCTGGAGATGGGGAAGCGCGTTCAGCCAGAGCTTCCCTTGTTGTTCTATCATCAGCTGCACTGCCATCATTACATGTGTCATTGAGTCCCTTTGCAGCCACAGTTTGGCTCTTTTTCTTGTTTGAAAGCGAGACACTAACATTCAGTGTAGCTTCTTCTGATTCATTATTTTCAGCCGTAGTTGGTGGAATCTTTTTTTTCCTCTTCTTCTTTGACCCCACATTCTCATCAGTTTGCGAATCTCTTTCTGATTTCTCCACGGAGGCCACCTCCTCGTCCATTTTGCGTTTCTTCTTTCTCTTGAGCCCGGTTTCGACTACCAGACACGTTGTGTTTGGCTCCTCAAAATCCAGCTCGTGGTCTTTTTCCACTCTCTCCCTTTCAGCTGACACCTTCTTCCTCTTCTTCTTCTTTTTCCTGACCCCATCATCAGAGCCCATCCAGCTTCCTGCGGTTTCTGCTGATTCACCGGCGGGTTTGTCTGCAGCCCCGGACTGCGTTTCCTGGTGTGTCTGAGCAGCGGTTTCCTCTGCATCAGCAACAAGGAAGGAACGGGTCCTCTTCTTTTTCCGCACAGAATCATCGTTTTGTGTCACGGTGTCGTTGTTGGTGATTGTGCCCACCAGTCCAGCATCTTGGTCTTCGCCGCCCTCTGTTGTTTCCTGAGCGCCACCTACATTTTCATCTTCGGTCTTCTCCTTTTTCTTCTTCTTCTTCTTTTTTTGAACTGGCGACTCTGTTATAACCTCCTTAGAAAAGCTCTCATCTATACAATCATCTCTTCCAATTGGAGCATCATCATCAACAGAAGCTGACTTTTGCTTCTTTTTCTTTTTTCTTTTCACAGAGCTGG